AGAGGAAGAAGAGGAGGACGAAGAGGACGAGGAAGAGGAGACAGGATCGTAACGGAGTGACACAGATCTGACCCAGGTGGGTGGTCTCTGTGTCAGCCTCATCCTGTTCTCTATTCTATCCCTTCATTTTGAAAACCTGTCAGTTCGTGTTGCATGTGGGATTGCACCGTGGGAGAGGTTGGTGTGCATGGCATAGTGCCCATGGAAACCAGTTTGTGCCCAAGGCATTCTAACAGGGGGATGGGTACTGTACTGGGAGATACCTGGGGTGCAGAGGCTCCCAAGTCTGGGGCTCGGGGCTCGGCCTGAGCGGGAGATGGGAGGTAGTTGCTGTAGGCCTTGAGATAGATATAGACACCGAGGGAGCTAGATGAGCTTGCCCAGAACAGAGAGGGAGAGGGTAGCCATAGACAGTTAACGTACAGGGAGTTTGCACACACTCATGTGTGCATGTGTGCATGTGTGCATGCTTTACTCCAGGACACAATCACAGGCAATAGCAGGTACATATCTGTGTGAACAAGTGTGCAGAGAGATGTGTCTATGGGTACCCATTTGCACAGGCTTACATGTAGACACACATATACACACATACCTAGTACATGCACGGATTTCTCTAGAAGCAGGGGACTCAAGCTGCTTCAGTGTGAAGAGCTCGAGGGAGGTGGTCTCTGCTGAGCCTAACTGGCTGTGTCTACACAGTCCTGCGACTTCCTAGGGAACCCCCAAGAGAGAGGCAGGGGTGGAGAGAATGTCTGGGAAGTCAATGAATACATCTGCTCTGGGGTAGCGAGAGCTGAGGGGGCGGTAGAGCTTACGAAAGCCCGTTCTGCTCGGTATTCCTTTTGGCACAGGTGGCATGGATGCTTGTGGGATATGCTGTGGAGAGGGTGGTGCAGAGAGGGGTATGAAGGCTGCGGTAGGGGTTTCAGAAGACTGTAACGGTCCCACTGTGGATGGAGGGCCGTGGAGCTGAGTGGCTGCAGTCACAGGCAGACTACTGGCTTAGTGGCTGGATCTGAACTCATATCAGCCTGAGACCATCCGCTTTCTGTCCCTGCAGTGGAAGATGCCAAGCAGGGATTTGGATTCATCCACGGCTGCCTTTTTGGTTAGGGTTGTGGGGCCAGAAAGACAAGGAACAAGGAAATGGGATATATTAGCAGTCTCTGTCCTGGGGGCCAGACTTGGTGAGGAGGAGGGGCAGGTGGAAGTGTTGTAGCAGAGATGTGGGGCGCGGTGCTGAAACCTGGGCAGGTGATAAGGAGTGTCCCGGCAGAGAGCAGTGGTCAGGGGACATAGCTAAGGTTCGTTAGGACTTAAGAGAATGTAATAGGGGCTGTGAGGTCAGGGTGTGGCCACGGGAGGAGGCTGCTGGTCATGGCCACAGTTAGGATGTTGATTTGAAGTAGGGCTTGGAGCTGAGAAGAACTGGTAGTGGGGGGTGATTGATGGGTGTGACAGCTGTGAGGATGGATGATGGGGACAGGGCATACCTATGACAGAAAGCATGGCAGGGCTGTAAGCATAGGGGGCAGATCCAGCTACTGGGGACAGCTATGGAGGTGGAATGCTGGGAGAAGTCCCAGAGAGTTCTGGATTCAAGCATGGCACCTCCCCATCACCGCTCACAGTAGCCTAGTGAGCTACTAGTAGCCAATACACAGTAGCCAATACCCATCCCCCAAAGCTGTTTGTAGCTGGCCCTGACTCTACAACATGTTCCACAGGACGATGGACCACCGGACTCCTTTCTGCAGCCCAGGCCTGTGCCCCACGAGCGTCCCTTCTGACACACCCAACACTGAGCCCAAGGGGCATCCGAATACCACAGGTTGAACACAATCTCCTGTCCCACCCCTTCCCGTAATATGCCACACAATCAGACATGTGCAGATACCACACACCCAGCTTGGTTACAGAGAGCCAGCTGCACATGACCCTCCAGACTGGCTGTTTTCATAGTCCCACACCAACACACACACATACATACACGCACACACACACGCACATGTGCATGCGCGCGCACACACGCACAAACACCATACACCCTGACCTCTGAGTCCACACTGGCCTGGTACACTCGGGCAACTACTCTCTCCCCAATTTACACACACAGAGTGACCCATGCCACCGAAAGCTTTTGCTTCTGGCCAGCTCTGGCCGTAACAGTTGGCCATGTGCCTTGTCCTCTGCTGTCTCTCCCTTGAAGACTTGGGTTGTCTCCTTGCTCTGTGGCCAGGTGCTTTCTCCCTCTGAGACTCACAAAAGCTGGCTTTTGTTTTGTGCCTCCCCTCTGGGGATGCGAACCTTCTGACTTCTACCATGGCCTCGCCTCTTCCCCAGGTGCTGGGGCAGTCCCACCACAGGGACCCCCTTTCTATTGTGCCCTGGCAGGTCACAGGCACTTTCTGAGGACAATCTCAAGAAGGAGGGGGAAGGGAAAGGAGGCAGCTGTGCTTGGTGGGGTTTGGGGGGTGGCAGCTGCGTTGGTCTTCAGTTCTGCAGGGAAGTTCTGGGTACCTTTGGTTTTGTTTAAGGAGGAAAATATATAAAGGTAAAAGTCTCAAAGCTGATTTTTCCTGTTACAGAAAAACTAATATAAAGTATTATCCCTGCCCTTGCAGCCATGTTGTGTCTATGTGTGCTTTCCTCGGGAGCTGGACTGGCCTCTGCTCAGGGTGGGCGAGAGCCAACAAGCAATACCCCTGACCAGCAAGAATGAGGGTCAGGGTTAGCTCTGAGGGGCCCCCCACAGGAGCGGGGCAGAGAGAGGAAGGACAGGACATAGCAAGGCGGGAAGGCTTGGCACATGCACTCTCAGAGGGCGGAAATCTGCTTATAGAGTCAGACAGGAAACAGGCCTGTCTATTCCCTCTGTGCCCCCAACCTAAGCTCCCAGGCAGAAGATCCACCTGGAGAGTCACCTTCGCATGGAGGTGGTGTTGCTGGGGTTCCTGATGTGGTCTGTTCTGGTCACAGGTAGGGAAGAGGCAGAAGGCAGGGCCGAGAGCTCGTATAGAGCTGACGTGAGGCCAGTCTCTTTAAGCATTCCCAGGGAAGAGGTGAGGGACATGTCCAATATGCCACCCCAATGTGAACAGAGCTTGGCTTGGGCTGAAAGCTGTAGGGAGGCTGTACCTAGCTGCCATTTGGATCTCGATGACTATATAGGGATCTCCTGAACTGGAGGTGTATGGGTGCAAGCCTGTCAAGTTCATCAAAATATAGACTCCTGCCTGTGGCTAGCGGGCAAGGCAGCTGGATTCCTCAAAGGCCTTAAGAGGTGACTCGGGGAAGGCCAAATGAGCCCATCTACATGAAGGGGGAAGTAACTGGCTGGATAGCTGCTCTGTCTCAGGTGATCAGGAGTCAGCTGTGGAAAGATAGCTATGGCGAACCCATGAAAGGACCACAGAGAGTGGGAGGGAGGGAGGGTGTGTCCTTGGAGCTGAGGCCCTTCCTGGGGTCTTTACACTCAAGGGAGGAAGGTAGAGTTCAAGGGTGAGGGTCTGTGCCCTTCTGACCCTTGAGTGATCTTGGGGAGGCCTGTTTCCTTTCTTGGTCCCAGTGTCCTCTTGGGCCTGGTATATTATCCCTCCAGACCCTAGAGTTATACCCCGCTACCCCACCCTTAACTCCAATCCCAGCTACAACAGATTTTGTGACCAGCACCCTTCTCTGTGCCTTAGGCTTCTTGAACTAGGTCTTTCTCTAAGACAAAGTGTTAGCTAACCAAGGGCAGGCTTTGACTGAGATTTTCCTTTTCTGGGGTCTGATTACAGGGCCAGAGCCCAGACAAGGCTAATCAAGGTAAGGAGGCCTGTCCATAACTGTCTTGGGAAAGGCCCAATCAGGCCTACTGAGGTGGCCTGGGGTGGGCTTGTTTATACCTGTCTCCCACATGTGATGGCTCATATAGGCCTGTCCTCACTGTGGCCACCAGAACTGGCTGATCTGTGCCCTGTCAGCTTGCGTTAGCACAACAAAGAAGTTCTGCCTAAGAGTCTGGTCTCAACTAGAGAGTATGGCTCAGGCCTTATCATCTCAGCGTTTGGAAAGGCACGGGCAGGAGAGTGGCTACTAATACAGTCTACATAATGGGTATCTAGGGCTGCATAACAAGACCCTGTCTCTAAACAAAATACCACCAGCACACAGTCTGTTATATCCACAAGACTTGAAAAAAAAACAAGAACTTTTAGTTATCACATTATTGCAGACACAGAAGGGACCAGTAACTCCCATTCCACTTTGCCATACAAGCTTTATGGAGTTTGGACTCCAAGATAACTGCCAGTCACTTGGCCAGAGAATCCCAGCCAGGCTTCCCTCCTTGTGGCCGACCCATCTTGTCCACCTGTCCCACGGGAGGCTGGCTGGGCTATACCCATGGGGCCTTCCAGCTCTAGTGGACATCAGTCTCCACATTAGATGAGAGATCTGGGGAACGGAAATGGGCAAGGCGGTGGCACATGGAAGGCGTCAGGTCTCAGCCCTGGGATGGGACAGCCCTTGTTGGGAGCACTGGGGTGAAACCACATGCTGCCAGGTGGAGGAGCAGTTGACCTGGGGCAGAAGCAGGGACGCTGTTGTTGTATCTCCATGAGTTGCACACAGGGGTGGCTGTGGGGACACTGGAGAGGGCAGAGCCTCTTTTGCTGGTCTTTGCAGGCTGCCTTGTCCACTAGATGGGAGTAGCCAAGGCTCCAAAGACTTGAGTTAACATCCTGGCCCTGGTGTTGCTTTCAGTGAGTGGTTGTAGCTCTCAGACCCCAAAACTGATCCTCCATGAGGTAGAGGCAAAGACTTTTCCCTGCCAGGTGCTTTTGTGAGCTCATGCAGTGGAAACTCACAGCTAGGTCTTGGGCCACAAGAGCCCGTAGCTGCTGGGTGGGGCTCCTGCTTGCTGTTCTCTCTTTTCTGAGACACAGTTTCTCACCAATGGCTGACTAGCCCATCAGGGTGGAACTTGAGCTGGGCTTCACCAGCTTCTCAGGTGTATTTTGAGTTCAGCGCCTTAGCCCAAACCCCGGGGTATGGCCTGGCTCTGCAGCCCTAGGAGCTCACACATTGGTCTCCAGCTCGCTGATCTCAATGGTGCAGTGGTCTAGGCTGGCCGTGGCCAGTTCCTCCTCCTGCTCTACCTGGACTGGGATGTGGTGGGGGCACATGGGGCCGAGGGTTAGTTCCGAGGCCTCGGCCACACTCTTCACACAGCCGTTCTGCTGGGCGGCCACGATCTCCTGCAGTGTCACTGGCTTGGTCTCGCAGGGTAGCAGTTTCTGGAGAGGAATTGAGCCTTGTTAGCACGAGGAAGGACTGAGGGTAGGTAGTGTTGAACAGTCTCAGGGACTGGGAGCCATGGAAAGAGATTTTCCTATAAACACGGCTGGGTAGCCTTGCAGGGCTTGGGCCTCTCTGGGTCCCAGTTTCCAAGCTGCCTTGCCTCCTGCCTCCCATTTTGGTAGCTGAGGGACTTGCCCCCCAGAATCCAGTTGGGGAAAAGTAACTCCTCTGCCTGAACTTCAGCTTCCTTCCAGGGACGTGGGTACAGCCAACTACGCAACCCTGAATACCAGACAGTTCCCAGCAGCCTCACAGCATCCTGCATGAGGGATTGGGTTTCTCAGAGGGAAAATGTGCTGGGTTTTTTTCCTACTTCATTGGCTAGATCTGGGCACTCTGTCAGGTCCACCATGAAACCTGTATTCCCACCTGACTCCATCTCTTCGAGGCTTCCTGGGGAGACGCTGCTCTTACCTCAGCGCCCGTGTCCTGAGCAAAATCCTTCCGGCAGATGTGGGCCATGATCCCTGCTGCCAGTGCGTCGCCCAGCACGTTAATCATGGTACGGAAGCGGTCCCTGGCAAGCCAAGGTGGGGTGGGGGGTGAGCCACAACAACCTCAACAAGGAAGTGGTAGAGGGCAACGCTCGACTGGAAAGTGAGGCCACAGCACAGAAGCTCGGACAGTGACTGCAGACAGGGAAGCACCCAACCCACCCCCAGTGGTGCCTAAGCAGCTGAGGAGGCCCCTTCGTGAACACAGGCCTTGTGTAGATTAGGAGGCCAGACTTAGGATCACTATCTAGAACATTTTTAGGGAATTTAAGGGGACTCTGTCTTGACTTTTGAACTCTGGGACCCTAAGCCACACAACTGAGCTGGTGTGGATAATTGGGGCATCCCCAGTCCCCTTCCTTCCGATCTCAGCAAGGGTAGGGCTGGGCAGGGACGGAACAAAGCACTCACAGGGCCCAGTCCACGGCAATGATGAGGTTGATGTCGTCGGTGGGTAGTCCCACAGAGGTAAGCACAATGACCATGGTGACAAGCCCAGCCTGGGGGATGCCAGCCGCCCCGATGCTGGCTGCGGTGGCTGTGATGCTGCAGAGTGAGAAGGGTGTGCAGCCCTGGCTCCTAGACCAGAATGCTAGGGCCTCAGGGCCGGCCAAGGCATGGGGACTGTCATGAGTATCACGTCGGGGGGTTCCCAGAGAAACATGTGTCTGCTCACAGTCTTTGGCCCATGGGTTCTCACCCCCATTCTTGGGGGAATTGGAATAAGCTAGGACACTGTGCTGTGGGACAGAGGCGCTCAGATTCTGGTGGTCTACTAGCACAGCTCCACCCTAGCCTCGCTCTGGGCCTGGGTCAGAACTGGGTGCTGGGACTGGCCTACAAGGAGGCCCCCTCGGGCTTTGCCCCATGACAGCCGCTCACATTTGACACGAGCCGCTCTGGTCCTCGGGCCTGGCCCTTGCCTCTGCTCATCCTGGTCCCAGGGATCAGGCTTACCCTAGCGCCAGTCCTGCCTGTCCTTGCTGACCCAGGGGCCCTCTGGAGTGTGGCGTTAGGTACACACCTGATAGTGATGATCTGGCCGAAGTCGAGCTCATAATTGTTGACCTGGGCAATAAAGATGGCAGCCACAGCCTCATAGAGCGCGGTGCCGTCCATGTTGATGGTGGCACCCACAGGCAGCACGAAGCGAGCTATGCGCCGGTCGATGTGGTTGTTCTCCAGGAGGCACTTGAAGGTGATGGGCAGGGTGGCTGAGCTATGGGCAGAGGGCCAGGTGTCTGCCCACCACCTTCCTACTACAGGAGGGTCAGCTCACTGATGCCCTGACAGAAATGTGGGGCATATGTGTCGGTCATCTTGAGCCTCTAGGAGTGACCCCAGGAAGAGCACCACTGTGTATTAGGCTTTGGGTGGTCCTTTCCTTCATCTTCCCTGGGGAGGGATACCAAGTGTGTCTATAGTGGTACCCCACGGAGGCTGTACCCAAGTGCCTGGGCCTTGAGTCCAGCCCCCCCTGGGGCCTCAGCAAGGCCTGTAACCTGGGCGCCTTGGTTTCTGTTATACACCACTCCCAGGCCACAGGGTAACAGCAACCTCAAGCCATGCAGGGCTTAGAGAAAAACTGGGTGTCAAATTGCTGAGCAAGGGCTTCTGCTGCAGGGGTGGGGCTGCCTGTGACAGGGTTGGAACTTGGCATTGTCTGAGAGACTGAGGCCCAGGCAAGAAAGGTGAGGGCTGTAAGAAGCACTAGACCTGTGACCCAGAAAGATGGGCTTGGGTCCCACAATTCCTTCCACATCGGGCTTGTACACTTGGTCTCAGGAGAATACCACGTTCTCATAGGGCGAGATGACCATGCCTGACCACTGCACACCCCTCCTCCCTCCCCTGACTATCACAGGTCCTCTGTGCTCAGCTGTGATAAGTAGTCCCCAAGGCCAGGCTCAGGTTCACTGGCTCTACTGGCCTTCTCACCCCAGGGATTATCCCAGCCTCTGAAGCAATCCTGTACGGGTACAGATTATTCCAGTCCAGGTATGGGGCCACTCGGGCCTGAGGAGGCTAAGTGACAGCCCACCACCACACTGGCGTGCTTCACAGAACCATGACTCCAGCCTTGGCTGTCCAGAAATGCTGCCGAGGTTGAAACAGATTCTCCAGCCTGGACATCCCATAGAGAGTAGACAGACAGAGGCCCTGTGGTGTCGGGGGCCCTGCCCTGATAGGAGACATGGGCTGTGAAGTAAGGACGGGCCCTCCATGAAGACTGAGAAAGCTTTGGGACCATGGGCAAAGGAAGGCCTAAGGGTAGGCAGAGCCTCGAGCACCATATGGTGATATCACAATGGCACTGTTCCCACCCCTGGGACCTGTTTGAGGAGCCACACTAGCACTTCCTGTGGTTCTGTGGCTGTAGATGAATGGTGGCCGGACAGACGGACAGAGAGAGAGTTCTGTTCGGCCTACCCCAACCCTCTCAACTCTTCACCCGGGGCTACCTGGAGGAGGTGGCCAATGCAATCAGCAGAGCTTGGAGGACTCCACGGATGAAGACGATGGGGTTCTTCCTGGTGATGAGGAAGTAGAGGAGGGGCAGGATGAGGAGGCCATGGACCACCAACCCGCATACCACGGTCAAGGCATAGAAGCCCAGCTTCTTCCCCACGGCCTTGGGGTCATCCATCTCCAGGATCTTTCCGGCGATCAGGAAGACAATGCCAAAGGGGAAGTACCTGGGGTGGCAGAGTGGCCGCAGGTGACAGGCCATCCCACTTTGTGATTTCATCTCAAGCCCCTCATGGTTCCTAAGAACTGAGGGAGACTGTAACTGTGGTGCCCAGCTGAGAGGCAGGCCTGTGACATCACTACACCCCAACCCTGGCACCTCTTTGCTAGCTCCACCCATGCCTCTGGGGACTTCAAATCCCACTTTAGCCCAGCCATGCCACATCTAGGTAATCACGAACAGTCCTCTGCATGCACCTCTGACTAGAAGGCTCCTAAGGTCAGGAACTCTTAACCAGCATGGTTAATGGTTCTCACTTCCACTGTGTGCTCTCTCCAAAAACTGAGCTAAACAGACTCCACAGCGTGAGGCAACTGAGGCCAAGAGGACAGAAGACTAGGCTTGGGTGTACTGGGGACCCTGCACACCCAGCTAGCTCTCCAGGGCCAGGCTGACCCTCCCGTGCAGGATGTTGAGCTCCTCAGAGAGCACCGAGCATGGGTTAGTGATAGGTCCCTCCCTGTGGACCCTCCCTGGGGGAAACTCACCATCCCGCAACTGCCACAATCTTCATGACAGACTCATTGAGGCACTGGCAGAAGCTGACCAGGGGCGTCCCGCTCTCACCCATGCGACCCAGCATGATGCCTGCGGGGTCACACAGAGAGTCACGGGTGTACCGGGTCACCGTGCAGCTATGCTGATAGCAAAGTGGGGACAGATGGACACGGAATGCAGAGTTCTCTTGGCAAGAACACACGGGGAGAATGCTCCTTGGGGTCAGCCCTGTGACAACACCACCATGTCACCATTCTGAGAAGCTCCACACTCTGAGGCTGTCCCCCAAAAGTTCTTCATGTGCCTCAGCAGTTCAGTGACTTGCCCAGGAGGGAACCTTGGCATGCAGGACTCCAGAGAAGGGCTCTGTCACCTTGTGGGGAAGAGGTGAAGGAAGGCCTGTCTGTGTAAGCAGGAGAAGCCAGGGCTAGGGGTGACCCCGGGCCAGGCCTACTCAACTGACCTGTGACATCCTGGCAAAGGAACGAGCTGACGCTCTCCAGCTCGGTCTGCCTTCTGGCTATTTGCGGCCCTCCTCACCTTCCCTGGGATGTCTCCAGATGAAACTCTGGGCTAATTTAGATCTCGTGTGTACACAGGACACAGGTGTGACAATGAGTCACCCCATGGGCAAGGTGGCCTGAGCACCAGCCCTGTCCCCATACCAGGAAAGAGCAGAAAGGACACAGGGGTGAAGGACCGGAGCCTTGATTAGGGCAGCTGTGCATAATGACACGGATGGACAGAGGTGAGGGGGCTCTCAGGTTCTCACAGGAGTGGGCACACTAAGTGTGCTCATAGGAGTGGGCACACTATGATGGGCTCGTGCTGACTGAGCACACAAGCACAAAGTCACGGCAATACCCAGTTACACTGCCCAGGGACCACCGAGACAGTCTCAGACATTTCCCTTGCTCTGCTACCAGGTATCCTTCATCTGTTGCATCCCTCAGAGAGGCTGTGGCTGGGAGGGGAAGAGAGCACAGAGTCCAGTGCCAGTCTCAGGCCCTTTATGTGCCTGGTATTTTGGCCAAGGCAACTGGAGCTTTGCTGTCTGTCATTGCCTACACACTCAGTCATCGTCCGAGCATCTCTTTAGCAGGTTTCGTTGAGCCCTGTCCTTGCTAGGCACCATGGAGGCTCAGGCAAACAGACTGTAAGCCAGGCAGATGATGCTGAGCCACCTAGCCCAGCTTCAGTGCAATGCCACACAAACGGTGACTAATGCAACAGGCTCAGATGTTCACTGCGGAGCATCCTGGGCAGAGAAATCATCACCCGGGCACCTGACTGAGTCTGGGGACAGGAAGACCTTGATGAGGATGAGAGAGGTGGCAGGGAGAAAGGACAGGAGTGGTGGGCTAAGGAAAGTAGAGGCCTGGGCCACAGGACTGCAGGGAGACGGAGCGGCCCAGCATGTGCCTCTGAGTTCTGCAGCCTCTAAAGCCCTTTTCAGCTACTGTCCGAGTGCAACCTGCAGAAGAGGACCGGCTTCTTGATCCCAGCGATATACCAGAGGGGACAAAAGCACAGATGCAGGGAACTCTAGGCAAATGTTGCAAGATCCAGATGACTCCCGGGTGGTAGTAACAGTTGCAGGGGGTGGGGTGGGGGATCGGAGGCAGGCTGGTAGAAACTGGGTCGGGAATGTTCCTGAGGTCAGATAGCACGTGGCCCGGATGTCTCATGTACACAACAGGATGCTGGGCTTGCTATGTGAACATGAAATCCTGTGGGAAAGTCAGGGAAACAGGAGCCAGCCACGCCAGGGTTGATGCTGAACATATCTCCAGCCATCCACGGCTGGAGCTTCCCCAGGAAAGGGGTCCTGTGTGGGGGAATGGTGGGCAGCATTTCTGGCAGAAGATCATGAAATCTGAAGTCATACAATTTAGGGGGCTCTTTAAGAACAAGAATGTAGGCTGGGTAGGCTTACACTTATGATCCCACTTGGCAGCCGGAGGCGCCAGGTCAGGAATTCAAGGTCATCTTCAACTACAAAGTGAGTTTGAAGCCTTCCCGGGTCACATGAGATATTACCTCCACACCCCAACCCCTCCCCAAAACCCTCAAACTATAGTCATTGTTTACATGTATGAAAATTTCAAAAGAAAAAGTTTAAAGACAAAACACAAGCAAACCTAAGGATATAAAACTACCCCCACCACCACCACAAAAAAAGGCACATGCCTTCGAAGGATCCTCAAGCCACGCCCTTAGTGGCTTAAGTAAATAAAATCACTGTGGTTGGAGGGCCTTTGGGGACCCAGAAAACACTTACAAATGGAAATATGTACTCAGGGACATTTCTATGAGCCCCAAGAAATGACACAAATGATCTGGAGGGAGAGGCAGCTGCAGAAGAGCCCGAAGGTGAGAAGAAAGTGTTAACAAACAGTGCCCATTCTCAGCCAGCACCACTTCCTGACTTCAGTAAAGGGTTCAGGGACAGGCTGCTGTGAGGGGCCTGAGGGCTGGGGAGAGGTAGAGAGGCAGACACCTGTGTGGGCAGATCAACCCCAGGGCAGGAATTCTCAGCCAGAAGAAGGGCTTAGAACCACTTAGGTAGAGCAGGAAGAGGGAGCTGGAAGATTGGAAGGGGTGCTGCTGGGAGCAGTCACAACACATACATACCCATGGTGGCCGAGAAGATGACAATGCCTAGCACATTCATGCCATCGCTGGTGCCCGGCTCTGACTTATAGACAATCTCAGGCGGGGGAGTCAGGTCCAGGGCGAAGTTCTGCACGCGGGAGCCGTTGTCTTCCTGGACCCCATAGATGAGGATCCGTTGAGGCGAGGCCTCCGCTGGAGTCCCCTTTGGAGACTTGATAACAGGAGTGGTCTTGGTGCGGTACTGTTGGGGAGCATGCCAACCAGTGGGGAGTCAGCACCATGTCATTACAGGAAACATCCTGAAGGCACATTGCATGCACTCGTATTATGTGGGTGTCAATGGACCGTCGAGGGGGAGCCTGGTGAGCCGGGATGCAGTGGTACACTGACTGCAGCTCCCTCCAGCTCTGTGTCACCTGATGCCCTCCACCCATCTACCTCCTCCTCTGTCAGCTTTGTCACCCACCCGTCTTCCCGCTTCCACCAGGCCAGTTCACATATACCCGACAGCCTGAAGCCCTGCTATCCATTGGGAGGATCCAGAACCTTCTCAGAGAAAGCTCCTAGGCCCCGGACCTAGTTGATGAGAAGATCAGCTACCCAAGGTTCTCCTCTGTCCAGCAGGACATTCTTAGGATTTACTCCCTCATCCCTCAGATTCTAGGAGCCCAAACAAGGGGGCAACTGTCCCTTCAAACAGCACATCATCAAGACTATAGGGCTTCTTGGGGAAGGAGAGGAATCAATTCAGGAAATATATGGACCAAAAATGCCTAGCTTCATGTCCCTCACCTATAAAAGGGGACCACAATTGCATCTCCTTCAGTGGACGAAGCAGCTCCTGGCATGTGGAAAGCCCACGTGAGGTTTACTGTTACCAATGTCAGCACATACTGAACTGAACCAGACACTTATCAGCTCAGGGCCTTGGGGAAGAGAGCGATTAACAAATGGGCAGTATTTGACTTGGGTCTGGAAAGATGAGTAGTTTGCCAAAAGGAAAAGATTATAAAATAGAGTAACACAACTGTAACCGCCAATAACTGTCCACCACTAGGGCAGAATGCCCCACCTAGCTCTCAGGGCCCCATATTGCAGTGAGATGAAGATTAAGATGTCGGTGACTTGCTTCAGCTTCACGGCTTCATTCTGGGTCCCCTTCCAGGCCCTTAGCCACCTGCTTTGTGTCCCCAGATCAACACTCAGCTTGGATTTAGGATTTAGGAAAACACTAACTGGGTTGATCTGGCACTCGGCAGATAGGAGACAGGTAGAGATCTGGAAAGGATCTGGAGTGAGGGCCAAAGGCTTGGGAACACCCTGCATGACATGGAGAGGACAGACACTAAACAAGGGAGACCTACCTGGGGATGCTCATGACATGGTGGGAGTGGGGCGGGGATGCAAGATGCAAACTGAATGCCTGAGGATCCTAATGTCAATTTAAACATGATCTAGAGAAGCAAAGCCATCTGCACCCACTGTTTCTAGATCTCGGACATAGAGGAGATTTCCATGTGCTAACTGAAGGTGGGTGTTAAGTTGGGAGTGTAGCCTCCAGCTCCTGGTGTCCATCTCAGCACCCCTGTCCTGGGAGTTTCATTGCTCTGGACTCCAAATCCCAGCATGCCACTCCCATAGGGTATTTAAGTGAGCTCCCAGGGGAGAAACAAGTGGTTTTCTGGTTTGCATGGGCTCCCTGCTTTTCTGTCTTCCCACCATGCGCTCAGCCACCAGAGAGCGTCATTCTTAATAAAACAATGGACATTTTGATTTGGTTTGATTCGACCTAATTGGATTTCTTGCACCAGCAGAGCTGCCTCTTTCTTATTATTTTTTACTTAACAGTGGGCTTTGTATATTTTTTCTTTACGTTATTTATTATTTTTTTAGACAGAGTCTCATATTGCCTAGGCTGCCCCAACTTCCCCGAGTTCCGAGGATTACAAGTATATTATCAAACCTTGTTTATGCAGTGTTGGGACTCAAACCCAGGGCTTTGCACATGCTAGGAAAAACACTCTACCAACTACTGATCCACATTCCCCAGGGCCTGTTTGATGTATTTTAATGGTGGAAATGATGTATTTAATGATGTATTTTAATGTAGGAAATCCTAATTTCCAATAGGGAATGTTATGATTCTTATGGGGAGATGGTTTTCAGAGAGAAAGAGGGTTTAGAAGTCAACCTGGCCTGAACTCACCCACTCTCTTGTTCCCAACTAGTGGTATAATCTCAAGCAGTAGTCTACCTCTGAGCCTCAGTTTTCCCATCCAGAGAATGGGCTGGCCTTACCTTAGTGTGGACACTTGTAAGGATGATTGGGAGGGTGAATATAAACCCCAGTGTGCTGAGTCAGATACTCAGCCAAGGCTCTCTTCTGCCACACAGAGTTTTTATGAGTGACTGGAACCCAGGACGGGGGTGTGATTATGGGTCGGGCTAAGATACGGATCCTACCCATATCCCCTCCCCCTGACACCCACCTGTGTAAGGCAGGAAGGCTGCCAGCCTGTCACTTCCAACCAGGCCCAGATATCCCAGCCTCTCTTCGCCTCCTGCCCCTCCCCTCTGTAGACAGGCTCTGCTTACCTGTTTGAATGTGGCCTCTACCAGGTTGGCCGGGAACATGTTCCTGGGAAGAGAGGAGAGGGCAGCAAGTTAGGATTTCCAGTGCCGGGACAGCAGGCCTCTGGGGGTCAGAACCTGTTCTGGCATCCCTGCTTCCCTGGCTGCTTAACTGCTGGGCAAATGTGCTCATTCTCCCTCGCTAAGCGTTTGACTCCTGGGCAGTCCTATGTGATGGAAACTCCTAGATGTTCATCCTCCCATGAGACGGCATCTGAAAGGCAAGTCTCCATTTGTCCCCTCTACCCTTTTGTTTGTTTTTTGAGACTGGGTCTCACTGTGTGCCTGACCTGGATCTTACTATGTAGTCCGGGCTGGCCTCAAAGTCATAAAGATCCACCTGCCTCGGCCTCCCAAGTGCTGGGACTAAAGACATGTGCCACCACACCTACTTGGCTTCCCCTCTATCTTTGACGACCTTGGCATGTGTGTGGGCCTGACTCAGACTGGACACCCAAGTGAACCCATCCTGGCCATTCCCTCCTTGGTTCAGAGATTGACCCGAGAGCCTCCCCAGGGCCCCAGTTTGAGGATGCTGTTTTAGGAGACATTAAGGCGGCACAGCGTGTGAATGGCCCATGCACATGCACATCCTGCCGGGCTACCAGTCATCTCTGGCACTGCGTGCCTGGAGCCAGGAGTGTGGTGGGAGGAGCTGCTGTGCTCCCTGGATGGGACAACGACAAGTAAACAGCACGGTCCGTGCATGTGCACTGTGCTCCCTAAAAGCTTTGACCGGCAGTTGATTGACTCCCTGGACACAAAACTCACACCAGTGGAGAGCTATGTCTTATTAATACCTATTTTAAGGCTGAAGGTAGAGGGGCTCTTGTCCTTCCAGATATGAAAATATACTAGACAAGTATAATTGTTGTCAACTAATGCACTACACACACAACAATATGGCAGCCCACACCATAGAGCCTGGAGCACAGAGTAGAACCTCAATGGCTAAGCATTTCATTTCTGTTGTCGTTTTGGCGTTGTTGTTGTTTGTGTGTGTGGTGTGTGTGTGTGTGTGTGTGTGCACAGGTGCACATGGCATGTGTGTAGGTCAGAGAACAGCTTTTAGGGGCCAGTTCTCTCCTTTCACGTTTATGTGGGTTCTAGGAATCAAACAGGTTGTCAGGCTTGTGTGGCAAGCACCTGATGAGCTAACTTGTCAGCTTATCTATCGTCTATCTATCTATCTATCTATCTATCTATCTATCTATCTATCTATCTATCTACCTACCTATCATCTATATATCTAATTATCATTTTTATCTAATATCTATCTAGCTATCATCTATCCATCTACCTATCTACATACCTAAACTCTATCTATCTACCTATCATCTATCTATCTTTCATCTTATCTATCTATCTATCTATCTATCTATCTATCTATCTATCTATCATCTATCTATCTATCTATCTATCTATCTATCTATCTATCTATCGATCTATCTAACTATCCAACTATAGACTTGGTCTCACCATGTACCACAGGCTGCCCCCAAACCTGCCATCCTTCCAAGCGCTCAGATTACAGGCGTATGTTATTGTGTCCGGCACAACAAGTACCTCATATATGGAAAGCTGTTTCATCAGCCAGTGAGGAGTTAAAGGATTCACTATCAGAACTGAATAGCTGACCAGCTACCCTGAGAAGTTGTTCACTGTGTTCTTTAATGTCTTCCACCAAAACAAATTCCACTTGACTTCAAGACATATTTTTTTCCAAATGAAACAGTAAAAATCTAGAGGACAATGGGTTAAGATTTTATAACCTCCTGAACATGGAATGACCCACTAAGAACCAAGTGGACAGTTCAACTGATTTTACTCATTGAAAAGAAGAAATTCCTCAGTGCACTCTGCCATCCTGGCTTGGATCCCGGAACAGAAAAGGGCACTAATGGAAAAATTAGTGATATCCAAACTGGAATGGGGCACAAGTCTGCAGCCCAAGCACTGGAGTGGTGGAAGCAGGAAGATCAGGAATTCACGCACCCTCAGGTATCTAACGAATTCAAATCCCGTCTGGGCTGCCTGAGCCCCTGCCCCAAAAGAACGGGCAGACCAGGTCTATAGTGCAGTTCAAGGTGGCTCAGTTCCTCTCCTTAGTTTACAGAAGATGCTAACGTCTGGGTCACTGGCGAGGGTAGGGAGGATTTCTTTTCTTTGCTATCCTATGAAAACCTAAAGTTATACCAAAATGACAATCTGGGGGAATAAACAAGATGCCTTCTAAGGTTACAATGCAAATGAAATTATAAAATAAATGCTAGCTAAGCTGGGGCATCTCAATGGCCAAAGTTATCATCCAGAATCTAAAACATTTTCAGCAATCTCTGCTGGCACAGTCCTCACCAGCTGTCCCCTCTCACGAGATCTCAGATCCCCAGAGGGCAGGGCATTTGTTCTTTGTCCTGCTTTGTCCCTGGAAGAGAGCCCAACACATAGTAGGCACTCTGAAAATATTTGCTACTTAAACAAACGGGTCATAAGACAATAACACTTCAATAGACGAAGACAGAAAGATATACTCAGCAATTCACTTCACAAAAGAAGATACACTAATCGCCAAAAACATTTTTAAAAAAGTTTTGTAAAATAACAGTGCACACACACGCTGGGGAGGTAAGGGAGGTGGGTGCCTTCAGGTGGCCCCTGTAGGGACCTTTTTCTAATTGATTCAGCAAGACACTTCCACCTCTGCCCTCCAGGCCCCCTCTAGGAAGGTTACAGGCTGAAGATGCTAACAGCCTCTCATTCAGGTTTCCCCAGAATGGACTGTGATACCCGCCCCCCCCCCACCTCACACTGTCTGCCTGGCTCGCCCTCGCTCACTTGCTTTGGCAATTCTCTTCTTTGCAGACTCAGTTCACACATGAGTGAAGCTGTGCACGTGGACATGAGTGTGCCTCGTTTCCCAAGCCTCCTCCCCAGCGGCTGTGGCCAGAAGCGGTGGCGGCGGCAGTGTTTGTACTCCTGCTAAAATTCAGGCTTCGTGGACACATCTGGCCAGAGGAGGTGGGGGAGGAGCTACCCAGATAGAGGCTGGCGGTGAGCCTTCTGTGACCTGCCATCATTCACCCGTCCCACAGGGGTCTCAGTTTTGTCACCAGGGAGGGGAGAAGCAGAGGTCAGGAGCTGGGATTCCTTTGAGTTGGAAGCTAATGTCTGCCATCAGATTGCACTGAGTTTGCACTGATTGTCAAACAGTGTAAAAATCTTGGTCAAGAACCGCAGGAGGCTCAAGGAACTTAGCAGGCGGTCAGCCTCAAAGACTCTAACCCAGGAAGAACTAAAAAGCCAAGTGTGTACATTTCTTCGAGACTTCTTTTAGCTTAAGGTCACTTTGCAAGGTGGGCCATGGCAGAGCAGGCTAAGCTGCCACCGGTGTGTGTTCCCCTTCCTTGCTTACTTGGGCCTGTTATGGTGACAGACCCACAGGGCCTGTCTGTCAAACCCTGATTCCCATCCTAGGGAGGAAGTCACTAAACCCCGTCCCTAAAGAATGGCTTTGGTCTAGGACAGTGGTTCGCAACCTTCCAAATGCTGCGACCCTCTAATACAGTTCCTCATGTTGTGGTGATCTCCAACTATAACATTACTTCGTTGCTACTTCGTAACTAATTTTGCTACTCTCATACATCGTAATGAAATATTTTTAGAGATAGAGGTTTGCAAAGGAGTAGCGATCCACAGGTTGAGGACCACTGGTCTAGAACCCTTGTGTCCTCTCCTCCAATTTTCTTCACTCTTCCAGGAATACGGATGAAACTGCTGGAGTTTGAACCACCTTCTTGGACCATGAGACATACTGATGATGAGATCCAGGAGCTAAACACAGCCAAGTACCCAGGCAGCCAAGTTGAGATCCTGGGGATAAGGAACGGCCCACTTCTAAGAAAAAGCTTTCCCTCAGCGAAAGCTCCCGGGCCCTTGGGTCTCTCTTAACATGCAGCCAGTGCAGTTCTCAGCTGAGATACAGACTCATCTTGGTCAACTGGCAGACTCAGTTAAGACCTGTACTTTCGGGTGGTGGTGGTGCACGCCTTTAATTTCAGCAGTTGGGCGGCAGAGGCAGGTAGATTTCTATGAATTAAAGGCCAGCCTGGCCTACAGAGTGAGTTTCAGGACAGCCAAGTCTACACAGAGAAACCCTGTCTCAGAAAACAAAACAAACAACAAAAATCCACCGCCATCACCACCACTGCCACCAACAAAACAAAAACAAAAACGTACTTTTGATTGTTAATTGGGGAAATGCCCATTTTCTGTTGGTTTTGAACTCTTACAGGAAAACCCCTTCTTTATCCCATGAGGCCTATGCCTGGGTAGCAGTTACCTAAAGCATAGACAGAATGTGACTGAGGATATGAACTACCATACCTGCAACTCCCAGCAGCTGGCCTGGGCTCCCTGCTGAGGCTGCCATCCTATCTGCTGGTTGTAAGTTCTCACCGAGATGGTTCCAAACACACTCCCAACCTGTGACCCCCCCCCCCCACCAAGGCCTGAAGGTGGGAATTGCTCCTTTTCAAGAACAGCCCCTGTGAGGTTCATTCAGCCTTCGGGATGCTACGGGGAGCTCCAAAAGGAGCCAAGTTATTACTTAATCTCTGTGGTGTTTTAATAAGGTGGAAAAAGGACCAGTCAGCTCTGATTAGCACTCTGCTCAGCCGTCCCAAGGCCGCACTGAGAGCCGTCAGGGCACTGACTTGGAGCCCTGGGAAATGAATTAATGACTTGGCAGGTCAGCCAGGGACACGGTCTGCAGTGATCTGGAATCATCTCTGAGACACGAGGACACATTTTCGCCTTCTTAGCGGTGAGCCCAAGGCTGTGTCCCTGTGTGACTAGTCTCTTGTCTTTCTGACTTTTCACATTGTCACTTGTGTCCCAGGTCCCCAGGGTCTCCATCCTGGTCACACGTGTTCTCGTGCTGACAGCGGCATTTAGCAGATGCCTACTCTGGGCCCCTCATTTCCTCCCAGAGCTCCAGAGAGTGGTGTCCATATGCCTTCCTCCTCTGACTTTTGGGGATGGTGGTTGGTCCTGATGTGGGCACTCATATTTGTTCCTCCAGTTCTGGGCACAGGGTTTCACCCTGAGACTTGAAGGTGGGCTGTCTCCCCGGACACCCTGTGCCTCCTGTCTGCCCTCCCTGCCCCAGTTCACCCTTTCCAACCTCTCCAGTTCTCATTTCTGGTGGTAGAGATTAAACCTAGAACCTCATGGTACCTGTACCCTGCCACTGAGCTCCACCCAGGCCCCGCATTCCATGTCTGAGGTCTGAAAGCCAACCCAGACCTGGCATTTACAATGTTTGAGGTTGAGCTCCACCAATGCTGCCCCATTACTCATCCCCAGAAGCTTGTGCTTGCTGGCCGTGGGCCTTGTGTGTGTAGTTATAGAGCCGAGGGGGCCCTGGAAAGAAACCCACCTACTCAAGGTCATGGTGGCTTCTGGTGGGCAGGAAAGCAGGTAAGACCTCACGTATCGAAGGTGGTGGTTCAGCACCCAGGAAGTATGTCCCCTTCCCTGCAAACCCCCGTTCCACAATGATGTGGTGTCCGTGGTACCCAGCCACACAGCTCTCCAGAGCCTCAGGGCAGGACTGACTTCACCACGGGAGAAGCCACCAGGAGCAGACGGACGCTGGAACATCTGAGTCTAACACACGTGTGGGACCCAGAGCCTGGCAGCCCTCAGCAGGGGAAGGCGAGTGGGGAGGGCTGGGCTCCCCACACATCAGCCGCTCTTGCCACCCTGTGGAAAAGCTGTCTGGAATCATAGGGTCTGAGGAATGATGGATCACAGGAGCATAATCCCAGAAATAACAGCTCTTAGAAGGAGGCTTCTCAAAATCCCGCTTTCCTTGGCCCTCGTGGACACCTGCTCTCCCACGTCTCCTCCTGTCCCTGCCGGCCCCGGGCAGCCCACAGAGTTGCCAAGGACTAAGTCCTCTGGGCTCCTGGGCACATGCTTCTCCTGAATGGCAGAGGCTCCTCTGGAGACTTAGACCCCAAATGCTCGGTGGGCGTGACAACCTTGTACATGAAGCATCGGCTATGAGCTACATGCTTTTCTAGGCTCCAGGACGTAGCCACCTCCAGGGGTGGGGAGAGTGACAAAAAGAAATAAAGAAATCTGAGGACGTAACTGTGTCAGGTAGTGAGAGGGTTGGGCAGAAAGACTCAGTCAAGGGAAGATAAAAAGAACACCCCAGCAGGGAGTTGGCCCAGAGCAGAGACCTCAGCAATGTGCAGAATAAGAGTCATGCTCACTCGCCAGAAAAGGCCAGGCGGAGAGGCAGGGACAGCAGGGAGACAGGACACGCATGATGGAAAGATTGGTTGAGGCTGGTGTGGCTAGTTAGGAGAGGAGTGGAGCCCCAAGGCTCTGAGTGAGGCTATGGAGAGGGAAGGGGGTGTTGTGACGGCTGCAAGCCACAGAGACCGCGGGAACAGATTGCAAGCCAGCCATGGGCACCATAGGGACGGCTTGTGGGTGAGCCATGGACACCGAGGCATGGCTTACGGAGCTGCTGTGCTGAGAAGACATCAGGTTGGAGCAGAGAGAAAGCACTGGACAGGCAAATGGAAGGTGGTGGTGAGGATGACAAGCATGGCACTGAGAGGCACAGTCTGAACCTGGGTCTAAAAGGAGAGCTAACAAAGGAGTGGATGTGGGGTGGGAGAGCGGGTGGTGTGGAGGGATAAGGGGGTGGGAGAGCG